GGCATGCGCTTCGAATGCCTCAGAAAGGAAGGCGAAGCAGCGCTTTTGCCCAGCCGACAGGCAGAAGGTCCAGGGGACAGCTAAGTTTAATCTGGTGCAAATATATATGGAAGGAGTCTATTCGAGACTTCGATTGTCTTTTTCCGAAGCTCGGATTCTGGCACAGAATCGTGAACGTCGGAAACTCTGTCTGTCGTGTCTGCCCTCGCGGCCCGAAAGGTAAAGCGACCATGGAAGATGAAAGTTCGTGTAAGAAAAATTCTCATTTTGGACTTACTGATGTCAGTTCTAAATCGAATTTTTTCTATAAGCAGAAGCGTATAGAACACTAACGAAGTTCGTATGGATTTCAATGAACTGAATTTTGAATAGATATTTTAGGTTATTGCTTGAATGCCATTCGGTTTAGTCTTATCTCGAATTTGACGTTTTACCATAATTGCTTTTGAGCATGAGTCTGTGAACCGCAGAACTGAAATACAATTGAACGAGAGTGGTATTATTTACTTTCGTTCGTGTTATACAAATCAGTACTTATTATAGTTATTTAATAATCCTGCATTTTTCCCGCCTGCATTGCTAATGTTTTGGTATGGTCTGGGAAAAGTACTGTTGTTAATAAACAGTATTCTCCCACCCTATGGGAAAAATAAACGATGGCAATGCTGCAGCGAAGCAGAAATGAATTTGTTCTTTTCAACAGGAACGGTGGCCATGAAGACATGTCCTTAAGCACTGTCGTCCAGCACCTAGTGAAGAATTGCTAGCCAATTACCGAGAGATCAAGTCATTAGCGAAATCGTCTAAAATAACTATTCAAAGCGGTTTGTCGCTGTGGAAATGACGCTAACTTTTGAAAAAGAACGATATGTATAGAATAAACTTCTTTTCAACGGTTAAACAGTTAGTGTTTTAATTTCCGTACAAGAAACTTGCGTGAAATTTTGCAGCGACAGTCCTCATCCAGCCTAAAACGAAGTACCTGATTCAATAAACGTACTCTAGCGCTGATTTCATTTGTACACTGTGCTATACTGTTGCACGTGGATCGGTGGCACAGTTGAAAGAGGTCTGCTTCTGACTCCGAATCGAACATATTCACGTAGGCGTTGTTTCCCTTGAATAGAGACTGTATCCCCCCAGCATTACTTGAGCGCAGCCAAATTAGAAAAGGAAACTAGTAGCTGATTTTAAATAACTTGTGATGTAACGGTGCTTTGTGACATTACACCAGAATAGACGATTAGTATGACCACCTCTTAGGGTTGCAGTGTGCGTTGGTCCACCTGAAAGTTGAATAATCAACGCGTGATTCAAGCTTTAACCGTTATTACGCTGATATCCAGACTGTACAGATAACTGACTCTGTCTATTTGACTTGCGTTCCAGTGTTCGCTGACAGCAACGGATTTACAGGATCTCATTGATCATGAACTGGACATACATTGGCGTACCTGATGCCGTTAACTGCATGAGACTGGAAAAACAATTGTCCGATTGAAACCTCAACGCCATGTTCGGCACCGCTGATCACGCAGGCGTTGTGTCAGACGTTATGTCTGAATTAACACGGTGTACAGCTTTGCCGGTTTTCAATATTGACGTTGCTTAATTGATTAAAACCTGAGGATCACATGTTTTGTGCAGTCTGTGGTGACTACAAAATTCAAAACTAGCTGTCTGCTGACGATGCGCAAAAGCGGCAGCTGCTACATGTTTGTAGGATATATACAGAATGGTAAACGTTCATGCATACAGCAGCATGTAACCGCTGTCGACAAGTGCAGACTAAAATGCATTATACAGTCGGTGAATAGGTTGCTTTGCACGATAGAGTGCGGGGTTCAAACGCGGTGCGCCCCATTAATTTTTTCTTGCTAAAAGTTAATTTCCTTGAGCAAGAAATTCATTCAGCTGTGTAATCAGCCAAATAAGAATAAAGGTTTGTGGACATGGGAGTTACAGAGTTAACTTGGTGCTTTGGTGTGATCAAGCCAAAGTCTGTGAGACGAAATTCAATGCCGTGCTGCTTACGACTGCAGTCCGCCTTGACCTACCCCATAGTTGATAATAAATTAATACAAAACAATTGTTAGCAATGATCCATGCCATAACATTTAATTCTGAAATTCGTACTGTTTTATGGCGCAAATATATTTATGGAGAAAATTTATTAACTTAATGCAACAGGTGAACATTGTGTTCGTTCAACAAGGTGTACGCTCCACCCTAGCTTTAGACGGCTTGTCTTCAAAGCCTAATTGACATTCCAATTGCAGAAAAAATAATAACGAAAAGTCGAAGAATTTCACTTCTTTACATTTACGCACATTTAACAAACCGCAAAATACGTAAATTTGCAACGCTGGCAGTATGGCCTTCTTCGTCATGGTCAGTCTTTTAGTGGAAGCGAGAAGAAACGGATAAATGACTCTGCGCGAAATTTAGCTGCTTTCTAACCGTCACGGCTGCCTCTAACATCAAAACGATGAATTCTATCGAAAACTTTATTGCCGAACGAAACGGTATACCGCATCACCTAAAGATCAGAAATAAAATTCGAGATCATTCTGTCATACAGGCGCTGATAAACCTGCTACATTTGGACAAGCGAACGTTGTACAACTCTAAGCGGAAGGAGCAGTTTTTACAGTGTACTAAAACTGTAGTAATACCGACGAGGAGAGCTGTACCATACCGGTCGGTACGAATCGCTACTGTAGATGGACGAAATACGATCGAGGTATCGCGGCCTCAGCCAGTATCGCTCCAGGCTGTCGTAATCCAAAATATTCCGACGGTACCAACGGATTCTCGACTTTACGTCATCGTAGTCGTACTCACTACGGTACTTCCACCATTGCGGGTAATAGCGATAGTTGTCGTATCGTCGCCAAAACACCGGATCTATGGAGTCGAGGAAATACGAACGCGAATATCGCGGATAATAGGATATCGTTGGATAATACCAATTCCAAGAATACGGCAAATCATAGTAGTAGTAACGTCGAAGTGGCCAGTAGTATGTCGACCAATACAAAGGGCTACAATTGAACGAATTTAGCCACGATAAAGATTGATTTATTAGTTGTAAAAAGCGAAAAGTGAAATACTTTTGCAAGTAATCTCACAGGAGGTACGTTGCTTTACACCAAACGGTATACAAAAAATATACATAACTGAATAGTCTAATACTGCACAACGAAGCTTTCACTTGTTCCTCTGAATAGGTATTTTTGGATCATAGATTTTGGTCCCTGTTTTGGACCGTTTGGAATTGGTGCGCGTTTTCATTTTCGTGTTAACTCGCACAAAACATAGCTGTCGTCGATTTTTCGGACCGCAGCTAACATTGAATTTGACCACTATGTAACTAAGCATAAGGGGGATTTTGTGAGAGAGCTGAAGGGTATGTGTCTTTGAGGCAGCTAAGAGCAATTCGAAGATTTGAACGGAGAATATGTTAGTTTGAATATATTTAAAATACTGAAGCGAATAAAACAATTAAAGGCATGAAATATGCAGCATAAGAAATATATTAAACGGAATGTGTATAATGACATGCTGTAATATCCTGTTGGTGAACTTAGCAATGCAATTTTACGTAAATGCATTTCTATCTATCGAATAACGTCGAGGGTAAAACAACCATTTGCATGAACAAATGCCAATCATTGACAGTAACATAACGTGAGAAAGAAGCAGGCAAAACAAAACAAATTACAGCGTCCTAGAATGGCCACCCAGCTGTAGACAATGCCTTAAAAAAGGAAAGCTTCGCTTAGAGATGACAAAATCAATAAATGAATTGTGACAGATTGTGTCCATCATGTCGAAGAAAAACGGATCGACGTCAGAGGGGTTGAAAGACTTTTTTCATTTGGACAACAAAAAGCAATTTATAGAGTAAAAAAATTATTACAATATTTCGCCAATTTACCATTAGACTAGTAGTAATATACAAATTATTAAAAACGCATTAAGAGTAAGACCAAAAACGCGTCGTAAATAGTTTATGGTCCACTTCGCATCAATGACAGAAGCTACACTGAGCTCTTGTAAGGCTCTACTCAAACTAGATGCTGTGGACTGTGTACCAATAACATTGAAGAATGTCATTCCCCTCTTCTAATATCTGGTCTACTTCTACTAGATATTTCTGTATGAACGGACAACACTTTCGTCATTTGCAATATGACGCACCATAAGCCACAATGTGTGTTCGCTTTGCTGTCGTCCTTCGATTCTTCGAGTAGAATGCTGCATATGACTTTACCTGATATACAAGCCCTATGACTGCTTTCACCAAACTTTAAAACCGAGGCAAGAGGCTGGTCAGCAATCGTTAAGAAGATCACAAACAAATCCTGATCTTGATGAATGCCTATGGGATACAAATGGAACCTGTACACAGGTCATTCGGACGTGTATGGTCATTGGCATTTGGTCATATAAATCAAGCTGTTGCGTTGTCGGTGAGATTTGACAGAATAACGAAAGAATTCTTTTGGGAAACAGTTCATATGGAAGATTTAACGCAGTTTCTATGTAGGGTTGGCATTACTGAAAGAGGAACAGATGATTGCTGCATGATTTTCATATGCAAAAAATGGTTTAATTAAATTAAAAAATGGTGCATATTAAATGATCTACTCATTTCAAGCGTTTTCGCCTTTGTTTACTGAGACCAAACATACTTGGTCAACATACATTCTTTGCTTGCAGTATTATCAGGCATAAAAGTCATCGGCTTCCAAAGTAGCTAATTGGCTGCGACTAAAAGGTCGGCTTAGCCGAACTTCAAAGCGGAAGGTATCGATGCCATGGCACCATAAGCCATTTAGGTACCTCTTTAGGCGTCTAGCAACAAGCAAACTGTGCAGCGACTCAATTTACACAGTCATAACGGTTTCCTTGAATAACTATTTGTTCATTTTACACAGACAGCCATGAATAACACGCAAAATCACAACGTATCTTATTATGTGTATGTTGTAGTTTTTCATTATTTAAATATTGTTTAATGACACCCATGTGATCAGCTAGAGCGAGCTTAAATGGCTTCATATGATTATCTGATTAAAAGTTGCATTAATTGTCTGCGGTAAGATTTTCTATTAAATAGAAAATTTTTATGACTTTCCCGATCCTCGACGACGAGGCTAGTTTATTTGAGGAGCGGCGCGAAACATTTTCGCGTAAATAGCTTAAAGTTATGCCAGCGTAAAGCTTGTCAGTTCAAAGACAACGAAATAATAATTTATAACATGTTCCGCGGATCAGCAGTCACGTGGTATTTTCACTTAGTCCAGCTGTTAAGACGTTTGATTTATCGCTTGGTTTCATTTTTAAATGTCAGAAACGTAGCGAACACGTCGAACGTACGGCTGGAGTGAGAAAAGCTTTAGAAGAAACAGCAAAACAAAAATTTACCTATGGTTTTGCACGTCGTAAC